CAATCCACCCATCCAACACAGACCAGAGTAATCCATCACTACTCACACCACAAGTCGAACTCCACAGACTGTTGGTTCCCACCACCCGCTGAGCCAAGGAGTCACTCCGACGAACGCCAGTCATCAACCATGGAGCACAGACATCCCCAACACAGCTTCCCTCCTAATAGTGCTGCCGGCACTCCAAACAATGAGCCACCGACTACTTGGCACTATTTAAAGGTGCTCATCAGACAACCAAAAAGTAAGGATAACAAGAAGGAAGCCATACATACCTAAAACCGATTGCATGTGTGTGACACACCCCCTGTCCCTCCACGACGTAGGCAGGCGGGCGTAGTGTCCTGGGGCACTAGGCCATTCAGCCGCATGCCCCACAGACTCCGTGCGCGCAAACAAGCGAACTTGCACATCTCAGGGTAGAGAGGTTGTTCTACCCAGAAAAGAGTTACAGTACTGAGACTTATGTGTCTTAGCAAGAGTATCAGATGCATAGAACATAACTCCTATTCGAAAGGTCGACAGAATGTCCTGAGGTATCGTCCCTAGGAAGAGCTTCGGAGGAGTGCATCTCCTATTGATTGTGTATGATAACGTGTGCAAAAACACATTGCCGATGGCTCTCCAGTGGAGAGAACAGATGTCAGAAAGAAAGAAGAGTGAAGAAACACACATAAAAGACAAAAAAAGAAAGAAACAAACACGGATGATGAAAGACTGTTTCGTCGGACTTGCACCGACTCGTCAGGAGGCTGAACCCTCGACAATCTGCGGAACCCCCATACTCAGTCATGGGCCTCGAGGCCACGGCACTGGAAAGCTGAGCAGGCTATGAGCATTCGCGTTATGCAGAGACAGCAGCGTCAAAGATGCAACATTCCCACCCACCCAGGACTAGCGTGCCCCTTCAGATCGTCAGCTTCACCCTGACAATGGCTCAGCTTCTGAAGGAAAGGGGAATGTGGCATGGTAGGGCCTTCCCACACCCGGCCTGGGGGACCAAATACCTCTTAGGCCCTCAGCCACCTAGGCCCTTCCGTGGCCCCTAGGTGAGTGCCAGACAAGCCCAGTCTCTGTTGTAGCTCGGGCATGTGCGAGTGCTTCATCTGTTCCCAGCTTTGTTTTATTGAGTTTGCTTTGTCTGCAATTGCTGCACATTTTAACGGTGCGAGTGTGGTTTTGTTTTATGCCGGTTTATTTTGTCCACAATGCTCCACATTGTGATCAAAATATTATCAGAACAGGAACAGGTTTGCCCTGTTGGACCTCTCCCATATACCATCTCAGATTTCGACCCAGCTCGTCTGCTCATGGTCAGGCCTCTGTCCAACGTTTTATGTTCCAGCTAATTCATGATCGATACCCGGTTGCAGGGACAGCACGGTAGTCCGACCCTGAGTAAGGACCGAGGCCACTCTTTTGCTTCTGCTTCTTCTTATTCGTCGTCGTCGTCGTCGTCATCGTCTTTGTCGTTGTCATCGTCATCATCATGGTCTTCCACCTCCTTCCTCCATCTCCCACCTTGCACATTCTCTGTGTATGGTTACAGCGGGGAGGTTTCTTCTGTGTTCAAACCCCTCCCCGGCTAGTGTGGGATCTGTTCTGAGTCACATTGTCATTTTGCTGCATTGTCTGGTCAGTCATATAGCTGATTCAAGTCTTCCACTGTTTATTCAGTTTGTGTTGTTTCAGGGCTCTGTCCAGGCACCCGGGCACCCAACTTGAGCCCGGATACATGCCCGGGTGCCCTGCCAGGCATGGACCCCGGGCAGGGATCCAGGCAGCCCCAGCGCCGAAAAAAAGAGAAAAACAGAGAAAAAAAATCGGAATTTTTTTTTTTGCGTAGCACCCAACTTGTGCCCGGATGCCCTGCCGGGCAGGGATCCAGGCAGCCCCAGGACCAAAAAAAAAAAAAAAAAAACATTGTTGGTAGAATTGCAGTACAAACCTGTACTAAACTCCGGGCCGCCCGGCGGCCCAGCCTCCGCCCAGCAGGGGTCCCGGGCGGCCCGGCCGGTTGGGTCCCCCGGTTCGAAGCCGAGCGGGCCCAGCGCATTTTTGCACAGGGGGGGGGGTTGGCCTTTTACGATTTGTTGGCGCTCTCGGGAGCCTTCCCGCCCCCCCGCGCGAAAGATTTCCTCCGGTGGCGCTACCTTACGGGCGGCCTTCGAATTCGAACACCGAGTTCGTCGAAGGTCCACCAGTTTTCCTCTGCCCGCCTTCGACGAGGTGCCCGCCGTCGCCGCCCGCCGTCGCTGCCCGCCGTGGAGGTTCCCGTCGCTGCCCGCCGTCACTTCTTGCCGCTGCTAGCCGTCGTCGAGAGCTGCCCGTCGTGGAGGTCGCCAAGAGCTGCCCGTTGTCACTTCCCGCCGCCGCTAGCCGTCGTCGCCGAGGTGACAGTCGTCAGTTCCCGCCGCCGCTGCCCGTCGTTGCCGAGGTGCCCGCCGTCGCTGCCCGCCTTCGCCGAGGTGCCACAC